CGAGGCAAGGATTTATCCAGATCCACCAATTGGGGAACTGATGTCTAAGGAACCCAGGGCCTGAGAACATATGTGTGTCAGTATCTGTACGTATCACATATAGTCGCATATACGTGTGTAACAAAATCACATGTACATATACGTAAACATATAGCATACACGCAAACGTACCTCGACACACGTTATATGCACATGTGCATATACATGTAGCTGTACATGTGCATATACGTGTACATAAACATATACGTACTCATAACCAATATTCGAAAATATATACATGTGTCTATGCATGTACGTGTATATGAATTTATACGACAAAAAACCTAGATGTATACATGTACATATGCATGTATGTCGACATACACATGCACATGTACATCTACAAATACGTGTGCATCTACGTATACATGTACATATGCGTGTGCATATGCACGCACCTATTCATATACGTTTACTAGCACTGGCCAAACACATACACCTATACATACACATAAACGTGTGCACTGACATATGCATATGCAACTGAATTTGCATATGCATAGACACTACACAAACATACATATGCATGTACACAAACGCACGCGTACGCATATACACATATAAATATACATATAGATGCAACAACAATTACGTATACACATGCGTACACAAGCTGGCTGGGGTCGGCTCGTGACGCCTCTATTCGGCCTCACGCCAGAATTGGCCCGACGCCCGCTGAAGCTCGTGACGCCTCTATTCGGCCTGAAATTTCTGTTAGCCTGACGTCTGGTGATGCTCATGGCGCCTCCATGCGGCCTGAAGCCTCCATTGGCCTGACGACCTGTGAAGCTCGTGACGCGTCCATCGGCCTGAAGCCTCTATTGGCCCAGCGCTCGGTGGACCACTGGAAACCACAGGAAACGTAAGACCAGCCACACAAAACCTAAGGGAAACGTTCGGAGACCTAAAGAACACGACTGGAAACACGTGGAAAACCATGGGGACACATAAGGAGGACCATTGGAAACCGAAGGAAAACAGTTGGACATCGAAGGAAAACATAAGAAACCGAAGAAAGGCCATAGGAAATCGCACGGACATCAGTAGGAAACCGAAGGGAGCATAGGAAACACAAGACAAACCATAGACAACCTGAACCTAAGAAAACAAATGGGAACCTAAAAGATCCATAGGGGCCCTACGGAAAATCATCGCGCGCTAGCCCCGAGTTACCGTGTTGACTTCGGGCCACTGCGAACAGACGCCGCTGGAACGAGGGAGCGGGCCGAGCCACTCGACCAGAAGGGAAACAATAAAATACCGAGGGGAAGGCATGCGATGTTGACAGACATCCATACGAAATGGAGGGAAACCAGCGACACACACACAAAGGAAACCATTGGAGGCCAAGGAATACCATTGGGAGATAAGGATACCCGTAGGCTACAAAGGACAGTCACCGAAGACCAAAAGAGACCATAGGAAGCCCAAGAAAAACCGTTGGCAACCGCAGGAGGGACTGACGACACCGAGCGCAAACCATAAGACATCGAAGGAGACGTAGTGGAAACAACTGGTGGACGCCACAAACAAACAAAAGGCATCCCAAGGAGACGCTAACGAAAGCCATAGGAGAACGAAAAGAAACCAGGGGGTACTGAAACGATCTAAAGTGAACGGAACTCAATGGGCAACCCAGAAGAACGTAGGCGATCGCTGTTACATGGTGTGTGCTTCTTACGTTGCATTACAATGCATGGTGTGTGTGTGTGGTGTAAACGGCACGTCCGTTGTATGTGTTGTACGTGCAGTGAGTGTTGGCAGTGTTGTAGATGTCGTGCAATATTCTTGTGTTGTAGATGTTGAATGGACTTGTCATGTTGTATATGCTACAAATGCTGAATCACGGTTCTATATGTTGGATACGACCTGCACGTGTTGTATACATCTATATTATACAGCAGAGTGAGAGGACCGACTAGTCGTTCACTGTCCATGGGTGCGTGGGTGCAGTGGGACTCCGCGGAGCGGATTCTGCTGTTTGTGGCTACCGAACCCTGAGATATGAGAAAAGTGTGGTTGATCCTCCCCGAGGCAAGAAGCCCTCGCACATTACATTGTATTCACGTTTCCGATATCACCATTCCTTGTAACATCGTAAATTCGCGTCTCCGAAGCAATCCTCTTTTTTGAAATACGCAGTACCTGCGTCCCCGAAGCCACGACCCTTTGTAAATTACGCGTTCTTCGCGTCCCTGACGTCATAACGCCCCTCGCAAAGTACGCCGTTTTCGCAAGCCACGATCCTTTGTTATGAAAGGCCCCCAGGAAGGTACAAGAGGCATTCGAGACGGCCCAAGAGTGATCCAAGGCGCCCAAGATGGTCCAAACGCTGTCGAAGAGGCTCTCAAGAGGCCCCCCAAAGCGCTCCAAAAGCACCCCCAAGAGGGGCCCAAGAGGCCCACATCTGCGATTTGCATTCGGTGGTTGATGGATTTCGGCACGCTGATATCTCCAGTGGCCCCATTTCGGGATTCCAACGCTGCTTGACGACGGCACCCAGGCTTCACAACATAGCTTTTGCATACCCCATTCTCCAAGAGAGGGGGCCGACGGCAGGGGGCAAAGCACTTACGGATAAGATCGGTCGTACGACGATCGCAAAATCGATTGAGATCGATCGCGCAACCCTTTGAGTAAGATCGATAGCGAGATCGGTTGTGAGACCGATCCATTGAAATCGGTGGCACTGATTTGGCTCTATGGTGCCCCGGCGGTGTCCCGATCGTCCTCATCGCCACTCAGTGTGAGAAGGATAATGGGATCGACCGCTGGACCCATCGATACTGCAAGTGGCCGCGACGTCAATCGTGAGATCGATCGAGTGATATCGAAAGCGGGGTCAAGAGTGACATCACATCGCGGCGCAGCATCGTCATCACGCGTCGTCACCAACTCGAGGACGCGCCACCAACATCGTCATCATCCCACCCGTCGCATTTGCCAGCAATTGGTTCTTCCCCCTCGCCCCAATCTCTCTATCACCCGAAAGGTGGTCGTATAGGTACGTTGTTCAGAAACGGCCGAGCGCCTGAGTCCAAATAGTCACAGACGCCAAGCAGCCACGCTGGCACACGGGAGCGCATCCTCGCAAAAGCGGTGCGATGGCGGTGCCGGGGGCCCTGCACGCAGAGCACCTGCCACTCCCAGGAACTTGACGCCCCCTCTCTGCGACGGGAGCGACCCATCCATAGAAGCCGAGGGGGGGGAGAGGAGCCCAGAGGACAGAGGCGGACGCGGGGCCCCCCCCACCCCGGACAGTGCCAGCGTCGTGGGGCCCGCCGCCTTCTCCCCTCGCCCCGGCTTCCCACTCTTCTACGTCACCGTCCCTCGCTGGCAGGACGGGGCCCGGGACACCTTGCAGCCGCTGGAAGCCCAAGGGCCCCCCAGGATCTCCTCCACACTCTCCTCCTGCTCCTCCTCCTGAGGCCTGAATCCTGAAGGCAGAAGGGTCGTTCAGACGTTGCACTCCCTCTTCCTCCTCCTCCTCCTCCTCCTCCTCCTCCTCCTCCTCCTCCTCCTCCTCCTCCTCCTCCTCCTCCTCCTCCTCCTCCCTCCTCCCTCCTCCCTCCTCCCTCCTCCCTCCTCCCTCCTCCTCCTCCTCCTCCTCCTCCTCCTCCTCCTCCTCCTCCTCCTCACTCTTCCCCCACGTCACGCCATACCCACTCCCCCACCCGCACCACGATGCCCTCCCCGCCCCCCCCACACACGCAAACACACACACACACAGACACAGACACAGACACACACACACACACACAACACAACACAACACAACACAACACAACACAACACAACACAACACAACACAACACAACACAACACAACACAACACACACACACACACACCACACACACACACAACACACACAATACACGCACGCACGCACGCGGCCTGTCACGGCACCGTGCCTCTGCGGCACGTGGTGCCAGGCCGGGAAGAGGGCGGCGAGGAGGAGGAGGAGGAGGAGGAGGAGGGCGGGGACCCAGACCCCCCTCGGGTCATGAAAAAATCACGACGGAAAGTTTGTCACTATGTTCGGCCTCTGGGCGCCCTCACCGGCCTCGGGGCCGTCAAAGAACGGCCCCAGATGAGAGACCAGTCCCAGGGAATGGCTCGATCGAGACCTCTGGGGGTCGACGTCAAGAAAGAATGATGACGTCGGGGAGCGGGGGAGGGGCAGGGGGGGATGGGGCATGAAGCAGCAGGCACGAGGAGGGGGACGAGGACGAGGACGAGGACGACGACGACGAGGATGGGGATGAGGAGGACGAAGGGGCAGGGGGGCAGGAGGGAGGGAGGCGGAGGGAGAGCGTACACAAGAGGGGGGGGGGAGGATGCAGGACGAGGGAGGGCGAGGGCAGAGCACGGAGGGACTGTGCGGACCACCCCTGCCGCTCCGCCAGACAGGGATCGCCGCGGTACGCACAGCACGTGTGCGCCTTAGTGGGCCCTGGAAACGACAGGGCCGTTTTTTTACCGGTTCTGTTTTGCTGTTTTTGTTGCCGGTTCCGACGCCGTTTTTTTCCGGTTTTCGTCGCCGCTTTTTGACCGGTTCCGGCTCCGGTTCCAATCCTGGAGCCGTCTTTTTGCCGTTTCCGGTCGCCGTTTTTGTTACTGTTTCCATTTTCAAGGGGCATTTTTTTGGAAACGGTGAAAAAACGGCCCTGCAGTTTCCGGGGCCCACAAGTGTGCGCCAACGACGTCCCGAGGCTCTGATTCTTCCGTTGGATCGTCTGCCCAGCTCGCCAAGTCGCGAAGGGACAAAGGCACGAAGGCAAGATCGCATCAGAAGGCGCACACACGCGCTGCAAGTTCAGCCCATGGTGCGCGAACGCTCAGTGCTCATGCAGCAGGCGCGCGCGCGCATGCGCAAGAAAGACCGGGGCAGACAAACTGCGACTTCGCAAAGACACCGCTCGCCACCAAAAGCAACGCAGGTTGTACCACAGCTACTCGTGTTTTTCTGTCAAGCTCACGCAGCACAACTTCTGCACCGCCTGACTGCTAATGCAGAGGCGGGAGCCCACCCGAGATGCGAACTTTTGCCAAGATAGGGTGCCGCACGTTCGTCTATGATGACCGCTGGCACATCCCGTAGGGACCAGCAACTTGCACACAGAGGCCTCAGATCCTATAGCAGAGGAACGACATTGCTCTGCTAAGCTGCATTCGCGCTGGCGTGGGCGCCACTACTTCATAACGCGGAGGGCTCGCAATTGCTAGAGCGCGATCGCCGGCGATGCCAACGCGACAACATGAAATGCGGTTCTTCGCTGGCATTCGAACCTGCTCTGCGACTGCAAAGCGAGCATCCACGCTACTCCCTCGTCACATGTACCCAACAACGGATTGAT